TTGACACTTAGTACATGCTATAGAAGTATTGCCCATTATTATTATTATCCCTCTGCCTCCTGCCTCCCTTGCTGCTCTGGTGAAAGCTTGCCAGTGGTTCTCAACATAAGGATCCGTATTAAAGGTTTGCAGCATTAGGAAGGTTAAGAACCACTGGTTTAGAGAGAAACAGCAGTGGGGTGTGTTCAGGGGTTTGCAAGGAGGGTGAGCAACAAAGTTTAGATTACTGGCAAAAGTGCTACTAAATGAACAGTAATGACCTCAAAGCTGGATCAGGAGGGGCACATAGGTAAGAGAGAGTGGGAGATGGAGAGAGTAAAGAGATCTATACCCAGGCTTGGTGCCTATAGCTCAGCAGCTGGGGTCCCAGCCACATGCACCAGGGATGGTGGGTTCAAATCCAGTCCAGGCCTGTCAAACAACAACAACTACAACCAACAAATAGCCAGGTGTTGTGGTGGGCACCCGTAGTCCCAGCTACTTGGATTGTTTCTTTTGGATTGTTCTCGCTAGTGGCTGGGAGCAGTGCTGGATGCAAGGTGGAAGGAACCCAAATGCTGAGGCGAGAAAATCACTTCAGCTAAAGAGTTTGAGGTTGCTGTGAGCTGTGATGTCACAGCACTCTACCCAGGGCAACAGCTTGAGACTCTATCTCAAAAAAAAGAGAGAGAGAGAGAGATCCATACCTGGACTCCCAGGCAAGGCAAAAGAACAGTCATAGTGTAATGACATGCCATGCTCTTCCCAGCCTTACCCCTCTGCTCTGGCACATCCCTAATTACTTGTAACTAAGTATCATTTGGGGTCTCTGGCTCTTGGTCTAGCACTACCTTAAATGTCCACTCCACATCTAGAGAAAGTTTGAAGTCCTTCCCAACATTCATTTACTTTCCTAAGTGTTACCTCCTTAAATCCCAGCTCTAGAAGGGCACAGATGGTGGCTCACACCTGTAATCCTAGCACTCTGGAAGGCCAAGAAAAATGGATTACATGAGCTCAGGAGTTTGAAACCAGCCTTGAGCAAGAACAAGACTCCATCTCTAGGCTCGGCGTCTGTGGCTTAAGTGGCTAAGGCACCAGCCACATACACCTAAGGTGGCAGGTTCGAATCCAGCCTGGGCCTGCCAAAACAACAATGACAGCTGCAA